AGAGAGCGCAAACAACACAGAAAGAGAGAAAGAGAGAGAGAGAGACAAGAGAGAGAGAGAGAGAGATACAAGGGAGAGCGAGAGAGAACAAGAGAGAGAGAGAGAGAGCGATGAGAAATGAGAGCGAGAGAGAAAAGGGAGAGTGAGAGAGAGGGAGAGAGAACAAGAGAAAGAGGGATATACACAACACATAAACAGAGCGAGAAAGAGAGAGAGAGAGAGAGTGAGAGAAAGAGAGAGTGAGAGAGAGAGAGATGATGATACAAAAAAGAAAAAGACAACAACCACTGCCCTCACCATTTCCCTGCACCATTCTTGCGCATGCGAGATACGGGAAACAGAAAGAGAAAGAGAGAGAGAGAGAGCAACCACTATCCCGTCCCATGTTGGCGGAGAGATTGAAGGGACGAGGAGGCGCATGCAGAAACAATACATTACGCAGACTAGAAAGCTGAGATACATCAGCCGAAATACAGCATGAGCGATGGAAGGGCGAGGTATCGACACAGAGAGAGAGATGAGCAACATAGTGAGAGAGAAAGAGAGAGACAAAGAGAGAGAGAGAGAACTAACAACAAAACATAGAGAACAACAACACATATAGACGTTCGGTATCTATCGGAACCCGTGTCGTTATCACCGTGAACGTTATCGTTGCCCTCGTCAGTCCTATTATCGACATCGTCATCCCAATCATCATCGTCCCAATCACCGTTCGCATCCGAACACGATGCGGTAGAACACTTCATAAACTACCACACTGCAGAAACACACGCGGGACCGTCGATGAAAATAGTCGGCTGGAAAGGGGCACCGGAGGCAGAAACTCATGACACCCTTTCGTCACGATTCTTTCGTGCCCCAAGGGCAGGAAAGCCCAGAATCGCATCGAAAAGTCGCATCGGCGATCGAAATGAATCGGATCGGCGGGAATGGGCAGCCGAGTCGGGAAACATCGAATCGGCGGACACCAGCAGGCTAGTAAGCCGCCGTGGAGCATTCGGAACCAACATCGGAATCCGAGGCCGACTCGAATCGGATCGAATCGGAAGAGTCGACATGAGCCCTGCAAGGGGGCCCTTCTTCTCCTCCTCCTCCTCCTCCGGCTGCTCCTCCTCCTCCTCCTCCTCCTCCTCCTCCTCTTCCTCGTCTCTCCTCCTCTTCCTCGTCTCTCCTCCTCCTCCTCCTCCTCCTCCTCCTCCTCCTCCTCTCCATCCCCTCCTCCTCCTCCTCCTCCTCCTCCTCCCCCTCCTCCTCCTCCTCCTCCTCCTCCTCCTCCTCCTCGTCGGTGGCTTCGGAAGGGGCCCCGCGCCTCTGCACCGCCCCGTGCGCCGCCCTCGCCGCGTCCGCGGCCGCGGCGGCGCCGCCCCGCAGCGCCTGCTCCGGCGTGGTGCGCGCCGCGCGCCGGCGCGCCTCGGCGAGCCAGCGGCGCGCAGAGCGCGCGAGCTGCTCGCGCATGGGCGCCTCGCCGCGGGAAGCTCCTTCGGAGCCTGGATCGAGGCTCGATCGAGGAGGAGGGGGACGAGGACGAGGAGGAGGGGGAGGGAGGGGGAGGAGGGGGAGGAGTGGGAGGAGGGGGAGGGGGAGGAGGAGGAGGAGGAGGAGGAGGAGGAGGAGGAGGAGGAGGAGGAGGAGGAGGAGGAGGAGGGAGGAGGAGGAGGAGGAGGAGGAGGAGGAGTAGGGGGGGGGAGGAGGGGGAGGAGGAGGAGGAGGAGGAGGAGGAGGAGGAGTGCCCTGGGCTATGATTTGCGACCCGCCTTCTTGGACGCATGGGCTCGATCGATCGAGGCCCGATCGGTCCTCACCGAGGCGCCTCGGGGGGGCGGAGGGGCGCCGCAGATGGATCGAGGCCGAGGCCCGATGGGTCCTCGCCGCAGGCGCCTCGGGGGGCGGAGGGGCGACGCGGATCGGGCACCGCGCGAACTGAACATCGTTGAAGAGATCCCGATCCTCCCCCTCCCCCTACTCGTCCTCCTGCTCCTCCTCCTCTTTCCTTTACTCCTCCTCCTACTCGTCGTCCTCCTCCTCCCAATCGTCCTCGTCGTCGTCGTCGTCCTCCTCCCCCCCTCCTCCTACTCGTCCTCCTCTTACTCGTCGTCGTTGTCGTCCTCCTCTCCTCTCCCTCCTCCTCTTCTTCCTTCTCCTCCTTCTCCTCCTTCTCCTCCTTCTCGTCCTTCTGTCCTTCTCTCCTCCTCCTCCTCCTCCTCCTCCTCCTCCCTCCTCCTCCTCCTCCTTCTCTCCCTCCGCCTTCTCCTCCTCAACCCCTCCTCCTCCTCCTCCTCCTCCTCCTCCTCCTCCTCCTCCTCTCCCTCCTCCTCCTCTCTGAGATCCCGGCGTTGCATTTTTTCGCAGCGGGCGTTTTCGGTCCCCGGGACCCTCACAGATCGATCCAGCTTGAAGAATGCCGCAGACAGATCGGGTCCCGGGGGGGGAAGGCTTCTTAGAAGCGCCCTGCTTCTCAGAAGGCCCCAGTCCATGGATCGGGGGATGTGCCCTGCCCAAAATGCGGTCGGTGCCGCCTCGTTCGGCGGCGGAAATCCGCGATTTCCCATGGAAACGGGACCCGTCGCTAATCCACGCCTTCTTGATCCATGTCTGCGATCGCATGAAAGAAGCAGGAGTGCTTCTGAGAAGCCTTCTCCCCTCTCCCTGCCCCCCTTCTGCGCGTGGCCGCCCACGGGCGCCTCGAGAGCCGCATGCGTCCTCGTCGACCCAGGTCCCCCTCTCGATCCTCCCTGTCCAGGAGCAGCTGGTGACCCCCCTGGTCTGGTGGCGCGCCAGAGGTTTGGACGCCTGGAATGGATACAGTCATCGGCCTGACCTAAGGAACGATACATAAGGAACGAAGCCCCCTTTATTTTCAAGGAGTAACGAATAAGGAACGATCAATAACGCATGCAAGCCTAAAGAACGACCGAACCCCTCTTGAAAAATAAGTGTTCCTTATTCAAGCCGTAATGCCCATCAACACATGTTGCCCAACACCGACAGCGGCCGCAGTTGGGCAGGCGGCTGTTTTTCTTCAGTGATCATCGTCCGCGGCGGCGCGGACAGCGAGTCATGTCCTAAATGAACAGGACGGGCTGTTGGGCGTCGTACCCATTCTTCCCGCACCAAAGTGAGAGGGGCCAGGCCTTCTAAAAAGGCGGTGACACGCGTCGGAAGCCCTCCGCCCTTCTGACTAGCTCTTTGCAGCTTCGAAGCAGGCCTTAGACCAGACCAGGGTCAGTCAGGCCTTGCAGACTCCTGCAAGGTCCTGCACCCAAGTCCGAGTCAATGCGAAGGATCCTGCAGGATCCTGCGAGATCTTGCACCCAAGCTCGGGTCGATGCGACCCTGGCCCTGCAGGATCCTGCAAGATCGGGCGCTCTGGCTGACCTCCGTTTGCGTTGACCCCCGTCTCAAGGCTCCCGACAATTCCTGGCTCCAACTTCCTGGCTCCGGGTCAGGCTCCAGGTTCTCGGTTCTCGGGCCCCGGTGCCCTTCACTATTGCTCCCTAGTGGGAGGGGGAGGAGGAGGACGAGGGCCAGGAGCGGGTGGGGAGGCGGGAAGAGGTCGATCCTCGACCCTCGATCCGCAGTGCTCGTGCCTCGATCCTCCGTGCTTCCAAGAGGAACCCGTGACCCGTGACCCCCCCCTCGAAGCACCGCCAGTGCGAGCGGGGAGGCCGCCGCGGCGCGAGGACTCGGCGGGGTGGCCGCCGCGGGGGCGCCGCCCCCCCGGCCGGCGGGCCGGGCCGGCCTCGAGCCCGCGGGGCGGCTGCGGGGGAGTGGAAGGGCGAGGGACGGCTGAACGCGGAGCCCAGACCCCCCTCGTGTCCAAGAGGGGGGGGTGCAAATCATGACCGGCGGCATGTGCGCGGCCCAGCGGGGTGGCCAGGGACGTATTAAAACAAGAAGAGGCGCTATGAAATCTGGGGAAATATCATGGCCCACGCCATGATATCCACCCCCCCCTAGTCATCACCCCCCTCTTTTCCGCCCCCGACCCCCCTCCCTCGATCGATGGGAGCTCGACGTCGCCCTCTGGATCGAAGCTCGATCGATCGGGCCTGGATCGAGGATCCGAGGGAGACTGCCGCGGCGAGGCGCCCGTGCGCGAGCAGAATCGGACGAGCAGTTCTCTAGTCGTGGCCAAAAAACAAAGACATGTGTTACATTCGTTTCTGCTTCTAGGGCCCCTTGCCGGACCTTTGGGCCGTGAAACGAATCGGCCCAGGACGGAAAGCCGGTCCTGGGGAATGGGCTTCAGTGGAGAACAGTCCGCAAGAATCCTTCCACAAGAGACCCAACCCTGAGACCCCAGGACGTCCATGGACGCTTGGTGCGGGAACGTCACGCTCTCCACAGCAAAACCATCGAAACCCAAGAAACCCTGGGCACCCTGGAGGCAAGCAGGGTTCTTCTTGGCATGGGCCTCCTCCACTGCGCTGCTCTCTGCGCGAGTTTGCCAATGGCAGGTCGGCTCGAGAGGCCTTCCGGGTCTGCCTGGCGTCTCCATGAGCTCTCCCTGGGAACGTCTCGGCCTAACGCCGGGGGGTGGGATCCTCCCTCCTACCACCATCGCGCTGCGTAGCACTCCGCCTTTGCGGGTAAGAGTGCAGGGGCGGCGGCGGGGGCGAAGGTGCTGCCCCCACGCATTGACCCCAAGTGATGTCAGTGACGCTCCCAGGTATTGCCCCCGTGTGCTGCTCCCACGTGTTGCCCCGAAATCTCGCCCCAATGTGTTGCCCCCCTCACAGTATCGCCCCCGGAGACGGAGAGGAAGATCGAACAACTGCATAAGCAGAAGCCTCCGGAGCTCCGACAGTTTGTGCTTACGTCTGAGGTGACTTCTGGTGCGAATGCGAGGACGAGGATTCTTCACGGATGAAGATGAGGGCACGCATGAGGAGCAGTAAGAGGTGGAGGAGAAAGAGAACGCTGGAAGAGGTGGCACGGGGGCAGCGCATGGGGTTGGAGAAGGGGGAAGGGGGATGGAAAAGGAGGAGGAGAACGATCAGCGGAGGAAGGGGGACGAAGAAGAGTACGTCCGAAACTATGGCGTGCTGAGGGGACGGCCACGGAAGCGAGGGCGGCGGAGCGACGGGAGCGCACCTGCTCGGGAGGCGCCTGGCTTCCCCGCTGTCGCGTCCGCAGCCAGCCGCCATTCCTAGAGCATGGATGCGGCCAGTCGCCGGACACCTAAACGTCTTCACTCGGTTCCCGGGAAACAGAACTACCCCTCCCATGCCCTGCCTTCGTTGCCTCGAGATCTTTCAGCGAGATTCTGCCAGATGACGGTGAACTTCCGGCTGTTAGAGCCAGGGTGTCGAATGTACGATCTATGCTTTCGAGGAGTTCTTTGCTGACTAGATTGTGCTTCAGAAGGACGAACCAGCGGTACTCAGATCTTGACAGGGTTCCGTCGCCATCCTTGCCAATTATGTCGAATAACTGCTGGGACATCGCCACAACCTCGTCCTCCGGCACACTTGCTCGCATGTCATTGAAGACGTAGCTGGCAACCTCCTGAATCATGTACACCATGCTCGCCACGCCAGAGAGCATCCAAATGATGCCGATCGCCCGCCCGAACTCCGACATGGGGGAGACGTTGCCCAGCCCTGTGGTGGTCAAAGCCGACACTGACATGTAGAAGGAGTCCAGCCACGTCTTGACGTATCCTGAAGGCAGCTGAGACCATGGGGATGATGAGATTCGGCGTCCTCTTCTGCCCCTTCCCCGTCCCCGTCCCCTCCTTCACACGCAATGAAGGCGAATCTTACCACCCCTGCTGTTGACGGCCGCCCTGAAGGTCCTCCGGTCTCAACGCACGCCTCGTAAGTGTCCATGCTGCAGTGGGGCACCCTCGAAGAGCCATAGGAACAAGTGCAGGCCTCGTATGCTGGGGGGGGCCTCAGCGTGGAGGTGCAGGATATCGCGACTAATTAGGACTCGTACTACTTGGGAACAACATGGCAGCAGCCAGAAGGGCGTGCCAGCTACAGACGTGCGCTCTCATGGGCGGGTAAATCAATCGAGGAGGCAGGAGGGGGAGACAACTTTCCTTTTCGGGCTCCTGGTGACCTCCTGGCTGGGGTTGTCTTCGGGGTCATCTTAAAGCCACCCTCTTGGGCTCTGTTAGAAACGTTTGGGATGCCCTCCTAGGACATTCTGGTGGGCAATTCGCTTATCTTACGGGATCTCGGAGCCTTCCCAAATGGCCCGAAGGAAGCTCTGGGAACGGAGGTAGGACTTACATAGACCGAGGTGTCCCTGGGCGGAAGGCACCAGAGCCTTCTGGGCCTGGTTTCGCGAATCTGACAGGTTCTGCGATGATCGTCAGCATGATTAATTCCTAAAGAGGACCGCCAACAACGCCTACCAACACTAGTCGGGCGTTAGGCAATCCATGCTGGAAAAGTCATCGGAAGGGGAGGAGCTCGGAGGGGGGGGGGATGGGGGACATGCCGAATACCTACAGTACACGTGCGGGACTAACGAAAAACTCCCCAAAGCAAAAACTCCCAGAGGTCCGCACAGATTTCATGCATCGGCGCGGGACGCGGACGCGCGGAGCGCGCCAGGCGCGGCGCGCGACGCGCCACCGAGAAAGGTCCAACTCCGATCCAAAATATCCGCTGGGCCCTCCGGAATAATAGGTTATGTTTTTGTACGGTGTCGGTCGCTCGGGCCCCCCCCGCGTATGTCGCGTAGAAGATAGTGCCGAACGCCAGGGAACACACGAAGGGGGCCACTCCGACCAGGATCTGCCTGACATCGGAGTCTCCTCTGTCGTCGGCGGTAGGATCAGTACTCTTCGATGGCCCTGCGTGTGCTGATGCCTGAAGGCCCTTCACGATTTTCATCTGGAGCTCGGTTGCCTTGGTGGTAGCGCGTAGGGTCTTCTTCTGTACAACCACGTCGACGATCTGCTTTGCAATAAACGCAATCGTCACCAAGCTGGAAAGCATGAGTAATGACAACGACATCTTTGTGATATCATGGGTCACCGCAACGTCGCCGAAACCGATGGTGAGTAAGCACTGCGTCAGCACGTATATTGCGGTTATTACACTCCAATCCTCTTCAAACGTTCCAATTAGAAACACGCAAACCAGTATGGACACGGTGGAAAACAACAAGCAAACTTGACGACCCTTGGTATGGACAATTTGCCCCAACATTTCCGGCTGTGCAGGAGACACTGTCTTTGAGGTCCGCCGGTGCCTGGCCCTAACCAAATACCAACTCTCTGACTGCGTGATCACCTCCAACGTCCCATCGTGACAACTGCTCAAATTGTAGACGTAGCTCTCGCCCGCTCCGCGAGTGTCAACGAGCTGACACCGGCCATCCACAACCCTCCAGCTGTAGACTGCGCTGCTCTTCACAATACCTGTAGGGCGAAGGGGGCACCAATGGTTGCTTCCGATCTCGATTGTGGAGCCGTCATAGAAGCTACCGTCTTTGCACACCCACAAGCCTACAAACTCGCTGGGAAAACGCTGCCGTTCCTGCCACGAGGCATCGGGCGTCGACCGAAGCGGAGTTGTCTCGTCTGGCTCCGAGATTCTATCCATGAAAGACAATGACATGAACGGAAGATCTCAAACCTGGCAGACCGCACATTGTAGTCGCCAGCCCAAAGGGCCAAAGGCATGCTAGATATTGGTAGCCTGTCTGTGGATGTCTTCTTGCTTCAATCGCTTCGCGCGCGATCGTCAGGCTGCCCACGCTGCTGGTAGCAAATAACGCGATCGCACAGGAGCCGTCGAGGGTCGACCTCGATGGGTGTCGGGCGATCCCTCAGCCACCTCAGGGGGAGACATCAGGTCGGAGACGGCCCCGTGAGTCTCGGGGGGGGCCCCGAAGTGACCCCAAGCTGGGGACGCCTCCAAGACGACCCAACAAGCCTCGAAGACGCGGTAATGCCGCCAAAAACGCCTCTGACCGAAGCTCTTGTGGTGCCCAAACCAATGCAACGTTACGTGCTTGTTACTTCGTGGGCCAAAAACGTTACGTTATGTGGGCCGAACACGTTACGTTACGTTGTGGGCCCAATCCTAAACTTCTATTGCTTCCATCTTACTTAAGGACCTCTTCACAAAAAATGATTTCGAGCACGCAGAGAAGTATCGAAACAGTGCCGAACGAGTATCGCCTCCCAGAGCCCGACACGTGACAACCATCCAATTCCGGTGCTCTCTTGGTGCTCAAGGCTAAGGTAGGTTGGACCATCATAATCCTGAACTGATTCCCCAGTCTGTCACCCATATGACGAAAGGGGGCAACTCACAACTCAACCCAACCATTCGAGAATCCTACGAGGCCCGCGAATGGTCCCAAGATTTGAGAGAGCGTGATCCACCGCCGCTTTACTGTGGAAAATTCCCCCCCCTTGTCCTTCCGAACCTGGGCCCCCCCCCTCCTTCGAAATCCTCCCCCCTGCTGCACCCCCCTCCTTCCCCCCGGAACCCCCCCCCTCACCCCTCCCCCCCCCTTCTTTCCGGAAAACCGGGGGGCTCACTACCGGTTCGAACCCCCCCCGTCCAGAAAACCGGGGGGTCACTACCGGTTAGAACCCCTGCCCCCCCGTCCAGAAAACCGGGGGGGTCACTACCGGCTCGGCTCCGCCCCCCACTCACCGCCGGGAAACGACTCCCGGGTCCCCACCACCGTCCGCACCACATCCCCCGCCGCTGTCCCCAACACCACCGTCCCCAACACCACTGTCCCCACTGTTCCCGCCACCGTCCCCGCTGTCCCCACTAGTGCCCCCACCACTGTCGCACTGTCCCCACCACTGTTCCCACCACGGTCCCACTCTCCCCACTTTTACCACGGTCCCTACCACTGTCCCACTGTCCCCACTGTCCCACTGTCCCCGCCGTTGTCCCACTGAGCTGTCCCACTGTTCCCAACACTGTCCCCACTGTCACCACCACTGTCCCCACTGTGCCTCCGTCCCATTGCCCCACCACCGTCCGCACCGCCCTCACCACTGTCTCCACCACCACTGTCCCCACCAGTGTCCCACTGTCCCCACTGTTCCCACCACTGTCTCACCTGTCCCGCTGTCCCCACTGTTCCCACCATTGTCCCCACTGTCCCCAACAGTTCCCCCACCAGTGTCTCACTGTCCCCATTGCCCCCGCCACTGTCCCAGCAACCCCACTCTCCCCATTGTCCCCGCTGTCCCCACCATTGTCCCACTGTCCCCACTGTTCCCACCACTGTCCCACTGTCCACGCCGCTGTCCCACTGTGCTGTCCCACTGTCCCCACTGTCCCCGCCACTGTCCCACTGTCTTCGCCACTGTCTTCGCCACTGTCCCCACTGTACTGTTGTCCCACCGCCGTCCTCACCACCGCCTTCACCATTGTCCCCACCACTACCGTCCCCACCACTGTCCCACTGTCCCCACTGTCCCCGCCACTGTCCCGCTGTCCCCACACTGTTGTCCCAACCACTACCGTCCCCACCACTAATGTCCCACTGTCCGCACAACTGCCCCACTATCCCCACACCGCTGTCCTCGCCACCACCGTCCCCGTCAGTGTCCCACTACCTCCGCCACTGTCCAACTGTCCCGAGTAGCGGGAATCGTTTGCAGGCGGCGAGGGAGGCGGCGAAGGGGGGGGGGGGTTCGAACCAGTAGTGACCCGCCCCGCTTTTCATGATGGACTAGGGAGGGGGGGAAAGGGGGGTTCGAACCGGTATTGCCCCCACCGGTTTTCGAAGGGAGGGGGGGGGGGGCGGGTTGGCGGCCCCCAGTGACCCCCCCCGGTTTTCCGCCAGCAGCGCTAGAACACGTTCTTTCCGATATTTGGGTCGGGCATGCCCCCCTACAGAGAGATTTTGGATGGGAAATGAGCCCGGCGAAGGACCCAACCGTACGCAGTGAACGCCGCAATTATGAATATCATCTTCGCCTGCGCCCCCTGGGGGGCCACGCACCGTGCGACGGGCGCGCCGAAACGCGCGGCGGGGCACGCGGCGCGAGCGAAGGCGATGGGCTCACGTGCGAAAGGTTGAGAGTGGGCGAGTGTGAGCGCGAGTAAGTCTGATTGTGGACGAGTCTGCGCGCGCGCGAGTCTGCGTGCATAAATGTCGACGCCCACGCCGGCGCGCCCGAGGCGCAGGGCAGAGCGCAGCGTTGAGTTCCCGCGACGCGCGCCGGTCGCCCCGAGAGGGTCCCAGCGACGCGCACGGGTCGCTCGCGGCGCGCGGCCGAACGCTCGGACCGTCGAGAAACGGCGAGGCTCGGGCAGGTCGCTTCTCAGGTCAAGCCTCGCGGATCAACTCGGTGAAGCCCAGCTCCCTGGCGAGGGCCGTCGCCTCCCTCCTGCGCCACTTTGTGCGCGCAGCAAACTGCTCCAACTGCTTCCGCAAACCCTCAGGAGGACCTGCCAGGACAAACTAGATGCGCGGCGCCCACATGAGCAGGAGGTCCTCGTGGCGCGTGGCGCGTGAGAGCAGCGCGCAAAGCTCCAGCCACCAGTCGTCGTTGTCCTTCCAACCTCGTGGCGGCCGCAGTCCGTCACCATCATCGCCATCATCGTCGTCATCATCATAATCGGCAGCAGCGTGGTCATCATCATCTTCATCATCATCGCCGACATCATCGTCGACATCATCATCATCATCGTCATCATCGTCGACATCATCACCATCATCATCGTAGTAGGCATAGACATCATCATTATCATCACCACCATCATATTCAACATCTTCATCACCGTCATCGTCATCGCTTTGCCGTAACCGTCATCGCCATCATTTTTATCATCACCCGCAGCATCATCATCATCATCATCATCATCATCATCATCATCGCAATCATCAACATCGCCGCCATCATCATCATCATCATCATCATCATCATCATCATCATCATCATCATCATCATCATCATCTTCATCCTCATACTCATCCTCATCATCGCCATCATCATCACCATCATCATCATCATCATCATCATCATCATCGTACCAAAGGAAGGGGGGAGGCTACCTCCTCCTCCTACTCATTATCATCATGATCATCATCATTTTCCTCCTCCTCCTCCTCCGCCTCCCCCTCCTCCGACCTCCTCCACCTCCTACTCCTCCTTCCCCTCCTCCTCCGTTCCTCCTCAGCCTACTCCTTTCGTCCTCCTCCGGACTCCGACGGCCTCGACAACTTTCGGGCAACAACGCCAATAGCTCAGGCCTCTGGCGAGAACTCCGGACGATGCTTCGAGCGCCCCTGGAACGCTGTCGGCGAGGCGCAGCAGCTGGGCTACACATCGCAGCCACGCATAGAACTAACCCCACCTTCAGAACGTCGCCACTGGGGCCTTCGGTGGACATACCATGTCGTCGGAGCAGGCCGCGGGAAATGCCGAAGTGGGTGTGGGTGACGCATGCGGGCTGCTCCACTGAGGGTTTCGGTGGAGCCACGAAGCGTGTGACGTGT